AATGATAAGGCAAACAAAATAAGTTGTAACAAATCGTTGAGACGTTTTGTGACGGACAAGGATGAATTATCAGCAATTCACAGATGGATGCATTAATGAAATTATGGGACTGATCCACCGACGAAACTAATCGCAATATAATTAGTAATAATAATATGAACGTAAATTCGAAGTCGTCACCTTTCTGAAGTCGTGCACAAATATTGCTGGGCGATTCGAGCCGAATCGTGGCACACTGATTCGTTCGTAATTCTGAAATAAAAGCAATGAATCAGAACTGCAAATGATTCCACGAGAATGTTGTTACTGATCAAGTGCGTTCCTCGGAACACACAGTATTATCAAATGACACAAACAGATAAGTGCATTCGAATACGTTATTGAATACAACCAAAAATGGAACTTGGAATTATGAGTGGAGAATGCGAAGGTATAAACTGAAATGTGGAATGCATGCAAGACATAATGATGCAGCAAACGTTTGATATTATGATCATATAAAAATGAACATAATATCCTAGGAATTTGGCAATAATAATTAAAGATATTTTCATGATCATACGATGATAATAATAAAAATAATTGTAAAATTAAAAAAAAGATAACAATAATAATAACAAAATAACAATAATAATAAATAATAAAATAATAATAATAACAATAATAATAAATAATAAAACAATAATAATAACAATAATAATAATAACAATAAAATAACAATGATAATAAAATGAGAATATTGAAGGACGTATTAGAGAATAGGGTCAGCATTGCACAATACCTCATCAGNAATAACAATAATAATAATAATAACAATAAAATAACAATGATAATAAATTGAGAATATTGAAGGACGTATTAGAGAATAGGGTCAGCATTGCACAATACCTCATCAGGATTGATTTCGAGACTCTGCTCCAAGCGTTCCTTATGCCCACGTTGCACGAAATTTGTTCCACACCATCCGTAGAAAGCAGGTCGTTTGTAGAACTGTCGATAGAAGAAGATGCCAGCAAGGAACGACGCGATCAGCAGCCACACGATCAGCAACAACAGACAACAGTTGGTGAATGCTCGATGTCGACGAAGTCTTGAGAACGGGTCACACTCACCACCAGCTGTTTTATATGCTACTGGCTCCAAGCACACCGCCGAATCGAGCACCTTCTTCGCTTCGGGTGTCACATCTTTGTGCTTTGCCGTGAAAATAGTCATCTTTTGCGACGGATCTCAAACGATACATATTAAGCATCGTTCAAACCGAACGACAATTATCGAATACGCCTTAATAAAGTCTTCACAAAAATCTCGAAAAACGCAAAAACAAACTGAGTAATGCGATAGACTGAATTACACTGAATTATGAAACTTCTTTTTCCAAAACTGGCTGAGCAATTTTGCATAGGAAGATTTCTATGCAAAAGGCTACCAAAAATTGTATGCGCTAAGTAGTATTCGCACACATCAGTTGCGACAGAACCACTTTTCACAATAAGTATTCCTGAGGATATCAAATACGGTAATGATGTCACTGAACAACATCATATATTTTGGAAATGGGGAGAGGAGAAAGGATTTGTGGTCTCGAAATAATTTCCAAACATCCAGTGATGAGACGGAACTGAAACACCAATATAAGATGATGCAAGTCGAGAAGTTTTGTGAAATTTCAAGAAGCATGTTGAAAAAAAATTATTGTGATAGCTTGAAATTTCTCTAATTGTAAAACAAATTCCTCGCTATTTGTCGAAAGAGCTGATCTCGGATTTTATGCTCGTTTCGATTAGGCGAGAAATTTCTAAGAGGCATTCTCGTCTCGTTTCGCTGTTTCTTTGCAATATCAAAACGACAAATTCATCTTAAGACGTCAATCTTTAACCAATAGACAATTTTATAAGTTTAATAGGTGCATTCAAAGCGAATTCTAGAAATCGAATTCAATTCAGTGATTTATTGGCTTGAAAAGAAGCACGTTGTTTATATCAAACATAAAATGTGGTCAATAGCATCAGTAAAAAGTGTACAATATCAAATCTATCTCATGAATCACATTAAATATTCTATCGATATTTGCGGTATTGCGTTCTTAATGCGATTCAAAAAAAAGTTAAATGCGATTAGAGGAATCTTATACTGATTCCATCGTTCAGTTCATTGATAACCACAACATTTTTGCATCGGATGCACGACACCTTTCAATGATTTTTCAATATTCTCGACTTCATTTCATCAGAACAAAGCGATTAGAGAATAAAGTCTCATGACATGTTTAGGATACGCGTAATAGAGCACAATTAATTTTACAGTTTTTTTTTTCAAATTTTTAACGAAAATTTTCACGGAAATCGATTTGAAAAGTTATCATTACGCAATACACTTGATTGCATAGTGAATCTAACATGAGGCAAAAGACATGCATGAGAGAAGTAAGAAAGCCAAGCAGAAATAAAAGATCACTGAGGCACCATCTTAACACTAATACCCTGAGGTTCAATTATGAGAATTACGATAGCGGCAACAACGCATTGCTATCACAATTACGAATCGCATCGCATAACACGGCTGTTACTTCTTCTCACACATACAGATAATTTCTGTATGAATCCATTGAAAGTACGCGTTTGTGCATCGTTTGATGCACTGACATCAATGTACTGATTATGTGCAGTCTCATGGTGAGTGTAAGGCTCATTTTGAATGGAACGTCTGTTGGAATCTTCTCGATGAGAAAGAAAAAAGAAAGTGGAAAATTAGCGCGTGATTAATGTTGTTTGCATTGAAAGAATGGAATTCAAGCTGTTTTTGTATTCTATTTATTGAGCACAAATTTCATTCATAATCTTTAAAAAATGTGGAATGCCATGGCTACCTACCAAGCAACAAACAATAGAAGCGTTCGAAACATTCATTAGCAAACCACTCCCAATCAAACTGATAACTTACAAGGCTTACAAGTGCCGTGATAACGGGCACTTTCGAAATGTTTACTCCAAAGCGATTAAGCAAACAAATGTGTGCAGAGAACAAAAATAAATTGATGATAGCAAATGGCAATGGCCCCCATTAGCTATAGAATGAATGCTATGCACACTCAATAAAAAGAATTTCTGTGAAGCAATTCAATAGTATGCAAGTGTGAACATTTCAGGATATTTTAATGAACTTATACTCAAAGAATTTCACAGAGAAGCTGATGTTGTTCGGCGAAAAGGCTCACGATTATTAAGTTATCTTACAGTTTTTTCGAACAATTTTCATTTATTTCGTTTGTATTTTTTCATTTTTAGTTCCTTTTAGTGACTGCAGAGTTAAAATGTATGAATAGGGAGGGCAGCGTATAAATCCTTCCGAATTATTAAAGAAATCCTTTGAAAGGTTCTGAATTTTTTTGAAAACAGAACACATCAAATCGAAATATGAAATGCGATTGTCGCATGACCGCAACTGTTCGAGGCTATCTTTTATCGGAGTAAAATCACGAATGAATCGCCGAGGAAAGCGTATCAAAAAGTTGGCTTCTATCTAAAAGACCAGAACAGGTCTGAAAATGTGCAAATGCAAGAATACTTCACAACTAATACTAAAAGGATTTGTATATTGAAAACGTCAGCATTCAACTTTTCACAAATGGAGAAAATGGTTGAAAAAGCTCAAAAATATGAATGGGAAAATTTGAGAAGAGTGAAAAGAATGAAGAGAGCCAGTCGCTTGGAAGTAATGCACCGACCGACCACTGCCTCATTCAAGTTGATTAGAATCTGGTTGCAATGCGTCTTATGGATGATGTATTGTGTGTACGAAATAAACTTATGGTGGCTATCGATTCAAGAAGAGATAATTGCAACGTAGTGTCCTTCGTTCCTTCTCTCCTCAAACAAATGAAACCATTTCCATAAAATATTCTCTAAGACGAAATAAAAACATATCAGTAGAAGCAGCCGTAGCAGTAGCAGCCTATCGCCTCACATAAAGTCAGTATTGCGGGCTATTAGATCAATGCACTCAAATCCAGAGCCACTCTGAATTGGTTTATGGGTTAGAAAAGGGAGTTTCATTGCTTAGAAAGGTTGAAAAGTTGAAACTTAGGCGATAGCCATAAACAAAATCAACAAAATCAGTTCATTCCTCACAATCGATTTTGTAACGATCGTGAAATGATACTGGTTAATGATGGCAAGCAATGGTTATAAAGAGTGGAGAGGAATGAACTGTTAAGAATCAAACAATCAATCACTGAAATTATGTACAAAACAACAAATCTCGAGAGGAAGAAGCATTAACCCTGAGTGAGTGCAGCACGACACAGACATACATACCTAATGCAAATAGGCACTAGTCA